TATTTATGATAACGGCTTCCACGCATCACTTCCCCCAGACACAAAAGGTGACAAGCCCCATCCAAATATGACTAATTGTTTCGTGACATGTGCTGTCCTTAATGCGCTTTTGAATTTCATGGATCCCATTTTGGGAATTTTTAAAGTTGCATACGAAAAATTATCATACTTATTTGCCTATAAATCCAAAAATCTAAAAATTCGCTGTAAGCAGGAAGTAGGTACATTGACTATGGCTAGAATTCATATTCTGATCATCATCATCAGATCGTCTTTGATCTGTTGCCATTCATTTGTACTAACAAATGATCATCATATTCTAAATGAATGGCAAAAGAAATTATTAATAATAATTTATACCTACATGGCTCCATTACTCATAACCAACTTATCAATTACTTGCTGCTAGTGTATGTAAACCGAAGTAACAAGAGCAGGTAAAGTCCATCTAACGCTAAGTCGTCATCATTGATAGACTTTTACTCTAACGATGCTGATAACTGAGTTTAGATGCTGGCGTACGGCTGCCATTCCTCCAAGTCTCCAAGAAATAGCAAAGTATAATGATATTACGTTATGAACATAACGATTGTTCTTCAAATCTCCATATTTCATCGCGCATGTTAATCTTGCGTCAAATCAAACAATGCTCATCATTCATCAGTCACAGCTGTCAGTCTGTCAGTCTGTACAGTCGGATGTTGGGATCAGGGACCGTAATTACAGGAAACCATGTGGCCAATTGGAAATTGTGTAGTCAGTACTTAGAGTAACAAGTATATCAGACATAAAAGCTTGTTTTGATGTCCACGACTATAAATCATGACTATTTAGTTGTCTTGTTAAAGATTGTATCTTGAAGCCATGTAGATTAGGTAAAATGTCGTTTAACTTCTTTTAAATGGTAGACGGAAAACTTACCAGTTGCCTAGTAGACTTGGCATGAGTACCTGTGAAATACATAATATTATGACCACGTCATAAAAAAGAATTTCAAACAAAAACCTTGTCAGTACTTAATCACGTGTTGGTGTTTTTCTTACGAGTATGCTAGTATCAGTTGATGTTACCGAGGTCCCTAATTCAATAGGTTTCACGGTCCAAATATGTATGTCCATTGATAATTCCAATTTCCTGTACTTTGACACCTATGCCGCGATTAATTGATATATCATTTTTCTGAAGGTCAGAATTTTGTTTTGATGAACGTAGCAAAACACGATTTTTTACGCTTTATTTTTATTACCCGTAGATAATCGTGAAAATATCAAATCACTACATCAGTGACCACCTTTGTTGAAGTGGCTGTGTAGTGTATTCCTACGCAATTGGCAAAAATACGATAATTTTAGGCCGTTCTTTTTCTAATAAGAAATCGTAGCAGATTAAAGTTGAATGCATAGGCACAGTGCTCTTGTTGCTAAGACTATCTACATACATAGGTATCCCGATTTTCTCCTGAAGTTATCCTGATCCTAATAAAGATAAGTGTAGGTCTACTCCCGGTGTTTTAGATTAGCAGCGTCAAACATCACTACATGCCTAACCTAACGGGTTCTCGGGGCTCCGGCTCGAAGTGCAGGCGTAGGAACGGGGTGGTTTTTATTCAGTAAGAATCTGACACTCCCTCCCGCCTCCCCCAGGCGGGAGAAGTCATTTGATTTTCCCCCCTTAAAAAAACATCACTACATTTTTCGTCAATCAATTGTTTTTAAATACCTTCAAATATTACAGCACGAAGAGGAACTGCGAAGTTTCTGCGCCCCAAAGCAGTTGGCGATAGAGATGTACTGGGGTAAACTCCGTGACGTATACAACTCATACCAGGAGGAACACAACCCCATCATGAGCCACTACCACAGCCTACGAGAGAAGGATGACTTCTATCAAAAGGAAATTGCCAGGAACGACTTCCAAATACAACTTGCTAGTGTAAGCATCGACATTGTCACATTATATTATTTAGAATTTTTGTGCGATTGGCCGGTAAACGAGCAGACGATTCACCTGATGGTAAGCAATCGGCGTCGTCCATGGACACCTGGAACACCAGAGGGGTTTCAAGTACCTACATAACCGACTGGGGATTAGGAGTTTAGACTCCTTAAGGATTGTTGGAGATTCAGGGATTAGGGAGATTGGGAAAGGGGAGGGCGAGGGGTTATTGGACCTCCGGTAACCTCACTCACACGACTAAACACAACGCAAACGTTGCTTCACGTCGGTTTTCTGTGAGGCCGTGGTATCGCTCCGGTCGAACCGGCCCATTCGTGCCGAAGCATGGCTCTCCCACAGTTATAATTTAATGTTGGGTATAGCCAGTCCGACACTGAAATAAATACCGTAATGGTCAACCACTCCTAAGCTATCTTTTAACTCAGAGTTACTTGACCCTTTACTTGTACTGATGGGTGTCACTTTATGGGAGAAAATGTAGGAGACGTTGCAAACGGGCATAAGATTAAGAGCATTGATAGGAATCAATAAACAATTTGTATTGCGTGTACACATTACACATGGCTAAGTACCTATTTGGAGACCATGTGAGTCACAAAGATACGAGGCACAATAAATTACTGCAGTTGCAGTAACTAGAACACCTAGTTGGATCTAAGTGTGTTGTACACCTTCCGTATATATAGCTCTTTAATTTTCAGGAGACCCTAACAAACTTACAACTTGAATGGCAAAAGACGACCAGTACGATGACAGACAAGTTGATGCGTATGGCCAATCGCAAGGAAGAACTAGCCCGCAAATATTTGCAGATGAAGAGGGACTATAAGCTTGAGAGCAGTAAGGGGAACCAACAGTTAGATATCATGGTGAATGCCAGCCAGGATGCAATCAAGGTTTGACGGTCGATTTTAGTCTGAAACAATCATACTCGCCTCAAGCCACTCATCCTTTTCTCAGTGGCCATTTTTACATTGACTTTTTTTCAAACCTGTTCCACGTTTTTTTTTATGGCATAAGCCGGTAAACGATCAGACGGATAACCTTTTGGTAAGCAATCGGCGTCGCCCATGGACACCTGGAACACCAGAGGCGTTACAAGTGCGTTACCGGCCTTTTGGGGATTAGGAGTTTGAGGATCGTTGGGGATTAAGGAATTGGGGAGATTGGGGAAGGGGAGGGTAATTGGGCCTCCGGTAACCTCACTCACACGACGAAACACAACGCAAGCGTTGCTTTACGTCGGTTTTCTGTGAGGCCGTGGTATCACTCCCATCGAGCCGGCCCATTCGTGCCGAAGCATGGCTCTCCCACACTTCCCCTATTAACCTCTGATGATGAATATAGGTAGTCTTTACCTACTGTTATAAAGTCGTCATCATCGAAACGCTATTGGTCAACAAATAGGTAACTGATAGATATAGATAGATTGGAAAATGCTACCACAAGAGTGTTTTGAGCATGTGTCTTATTTAGCAAAATTTTTCAGCATCTTGAAGATATGTATGAGAAACTAAACAAAGTAATGCAGCTATCAGAAATCTGCAGTAAATATGAGCACGAGGGTGACGAGCTGACCAAAGACGTGGAATATGATATGGACTCAGTAGACTTTGAACATCTTGACAAGGACATGATTGTAAGTACCAACTTATGAACCTTGACTACCTAAGTAACTCATAAGTGGAGTGGACACACCAAAACAAACACCTAATGAAAAAAAATCAAATTATACATACCGCATTTATTAATTAGCTAGCAAATTAATTTACAAAAACCTCTTTCAAAGGATGAATGCAAAGAATATCGCAAAATGGACAAGTTCCTACTCAAAGTGAACAGAGCCAAGGTGCAAACAATATGTCTGCGGACTGAAAAAGCTAAGCTGATGCGGGAAAATATCCAGCTGAAGAATTACATCAAGAGGTATCTTACGGACTTGGCGCTGAAGGGCAAAGATAGACCCTTGAGCATGAAGATAAGGACGGACGCACCAAAGATTAACATCAAGGCGTATGTATTGTATTTTTTTGTGATTAAGTATTATGGTAAAGAGCAGAAACCATGGACATCCGCAACACCAGAGAAGTTACAAGAATGCCCTCTTGGGGTTAGAGATTTGACAATTGGGGATTGCGGATGGGGGGAAGTATCGGGCCTCTAGTAACTTCACTCACATGGCGATAAAGTGTTGTTTCACGCCGGTTTTCTACGAAGCCATGGTACCACTCCGGCCAAGCCGGTATAAGTATTCGTGCCGAACTTCGGCACGGATAGGTAGGTACTTATACTGACTTCGGCAGCCGAAGCATGCCTAACAATAAATTAATCTACTTATACCTTACGTTACGTTAATAAAGTATGAACTAAAAACAATATCTTGTCTGTTTATAGGAATCGCCCGGTAACTTGCATAGAGGGTGCACTATCGAACGCCGTGCAACACGAGGTGCGCATGCGCAACGTGGCACGTCGCAACAAGGACAACGATATCAGGGCCTACCCCCGTGTGCAGTGCTGGATGCAATCTGCATAGTAACGAGACAACTTACTATTATCACTATGATAACATCACATTTTGAAAACTATCATTTTTATTTAAACTGTTTACATGAACTGATGATAATGATCATGTCTGTTTTTTAATATATTTCATTTACTACGTAACTAATTTGTAATATTTTATAATCATTATTTTTCTTATTTTGTGTAATGAATAATAACTATTGTGAGACATTAATTTATTTAAAACATAATGTCTTACTCGCATTAGCTATTTAAGAGAAGAGCCTTTTAAAATAATGGGAATTTTCCAAAAGTCGGCTATAGGGTGGCAGATTTTATTCGAAAAAATTTAAATAAGTATACAAATAAGCAAAATATTAGTATTGTAAGCCAAATATAGTGTCAATTAAACTTCCTATGAGAGTATAAAAATGGAATTTTATTTATAATTTTATATAATAAGTAATTGTATATTAAACTTTTGACCACCGAGTGAAGAGTAAATACTCTAGGGGTAATTATGAAATAATAAGACATGATTTTGAAAAAAATACCTTATAATATTATGTAAAGCTATCAGTATTAAATAGAAAATGTACATTAAACCAATTCAATTGGCTTTAAAGCAGTGAGTATAACCATCAGACATAACAAGGTGAATGATTTTTACAGCATTTAAAAATAACATTTATAGTTCTTGGATGACATAAGAAGTGACAAATTTATATTGTTCCTTGTACGAAATTATACATTATTACATCTTATACTAGTCTAATTGTAAATTTAACATTTGCCCAAAAATGTTAATGAATCTACAAGAACTGGTATTCATTTTAATTTTAAGCTACAGTTCATTTAATACAGACCAAAAAGAGCCACTAAGGCTACCCACTGACCGAGTTACAAATTTTATTTTCACAATCCAACAATGTATTGGATGGGAACAATGGAATGTGTAACAACAAAGTATAACTTCTTACAACACTGTTACAAATCATGATCAAATGTTTTCTCACAAATTAATTTAAGAATACAGAAATATAACTTTTATCACTGTCTCGTAGTTTCATTCCATTGGTACAACACCTGTCATGGAACTTTTTATTGAATCTTGGTCATTTCCCAACTTCCAAGGTTCATCAATAGCCACTAACAACCTCGCCAGCGCTTTGTGACCCTCAAGGTCGATATTCTTTGTCATTTCTTCATGGAAAGGAACATATTCATCACACATCACTGTCTTCCCATGAACAACTCCGTATATCTCGTACCAGCCTTCTAACGGTTCATTCAAAGGATGCTTCAATTTGATAAGAACCTCCTGATCGTCTACCGTTTTCACATAGAATCCTTCACTAGCCGTAACTTTGGTCACTTTGCCCCACAGCGTCACTTTCGCGCCATTTTTTCCCAGGTTACCGGCAGTCACATAAGGCACAAACTCGTCGTTGTCGGGATATTGGCTATCTTCAAAATCGTCGTGATCTGCCATTGTATTAGTGTTATGAGTTGTTTAAATTAGATTATTAAGTTCAAAAATAAATCACACGTAATACGAAGTTCAACAGGATGAAACTTGTTTTATTTAGTTGACAGTTAAAATTGGGTTTTGACATAACGATAACGAAACTTTTACATGAGAGTGACAAATGACAATGAAATTCAGTTCAGAAATTACCTAAACTACAGGTAATTTCAAGGAACTTATAGCTATAAGTTCCTTGGGTAATTTGCATAATAAATATTTTATAATATTGCTGTATATCCAATAATTTGGAACGCTATTCATCGCACAATTTTTATATTGAAGCTGGGGTTTTTCTATGAGGGAAGAAATGGGGCCTAGGCGACAGTTTTTATATGACTGTTGAAATCAAAACTACTTTTAACAAATTGTGTATGCATGTATGTACATAATAAGATAGATAACAAGCATGTATTTCAATCCATTCTGAAACTGTAAATGCTTTAGAAACTGTGTAAAACCAACAACCTACCTATTCGATAGTGGTCGTAAAGTTAATTTACTGTTTCAGGCATTAGCACAAAATATTACATCGTTATTTTTTAATTTTCTATAGATAGAAATGTTATGCACGGAATCTGAATCGAAATCGTACCCAAGGCATTAGCGCTCGATTATACAAGAGAATGGCAAAGTGTGTACCTCTATCTGTCTACCTCTTTGGGGGATAAAGAGCGTTAAACTATTACTGCCAGTCACTTTTATATTTATTTATTTTTGTACTCTTTGCCATGTAATCTTTAGTCTATTATGTTATCATAATTATTATTTCGAGTAGATTGAAGTTCCCCTATACTTATTCTTATTATACTCTTTGGGTACTCGGTGGCTAAAATCGTGGTGAGGCGTGAGCAACGATTTTTCTAAAGAGAACGAGAAGAGTAGGTAGGTAGGTAAACAACACGTCAAATTATTAAAAATTTATTTTTCACTTATTTACACTATTAATCCCTTATTACTAAACATGTTATAAGTCTATGCGAAGTGGTCTTCCCGGTCGGCAGCGAGTGTGGGCGCGGCGGCGTCCTCCATTGCAGCGAAGTTCATGAAGTGCGCGGGACGATGGACCTCGTGGTAGAACTCGCGCGGGTTGCCGAGCTGGACTCCATACTTCATATTGGGATCGTGTCTTACACCTGTAGAGAAAGGCAGTTGCTTTAATTTGTTTTACGCTAAAATGTAAGCTTACGCTTCTGTTGTAATGATATCATGTCATGGAGGAATCGAATTTATCGCCGGACATAATTTCATATTTTACTAGAAATTTAAAAAATGTAATCTAATAAATCTGTTCCAGGGCCAGTGAACTCATACACAAGTACCGTCAGTGAGGTTCAAAATCATTGAATATAACTTTGTATTGTATGATTTATAGTTATTAGTTATCAACATAATAAAGCATACCCATAAAGTTGTAATTCCAGCTTCCTTGCGAAGGCACCATGAAGTATCCTAAGAATCTATCGGAGAGCAACATCTGGACTCGTTCATAGTGGCTGGGCAGGTATCCTTTGGGGTTGTTCCCGCGGTCAGTGTTCCGTGCTCCCCACTCATAGCCACTGGGCGTTAGTTTGTACGCCGTGAGGGAACAGGAGCCAGGAGTAAACGAACAGGTAATTATGATTGTCTTCTCTCCATCCCATGACGGATTTTCAGCCATTATCTTTGCGTGTGTTGTAATGTCCTGTCAATTAGAATTTGGTGTTATAAATATTGAATTGAAGTTTATAAACTGTTCAAGAAAAGCTTAAAAATTTCGAGTTCATGAAGCTCTCTTCTTAGGAGAAGAAATAAACATGCCAAATGCCAATACAAGTCATTGTTTAAAACCCATGTCTCGATAAATTAAACGGCTGTTATGAGATACAATTTTGACACATTTTGTATGGAACTTTTATCTGCCGTAGCCAAATCAATAGATTAATAAAATAGTAGGTAGTGAGTGACTATGTGGGTTTGTTTAGGTACCTGTGGCGACAGTTGCGGCAGTTCGTTGGGCTGCGTGTGCATCCAGCCGAGCGGCTGCAGGTGCTGCAGCGCGGGATGGCGCGGCAGGTGGCGCGGCAGGTGCACGGCCTGGTGCGTGCCCCACTGCGGCGGCACCACGCAGCACTGCACCTCGCGGACCATCGGGTTGTCGGCCGGGGACGTGCCGTACAGGTAGCACGCGATCTATCATGTGTTACAAGGTTAGTATAAATGTTATTACATATTAACAATCTTCAAAGACTGCCTTTTCAACAATGATTGCTAACACTGTTGTAGAAAGTTTAGTGTCTTGATGCCGCCCCCGATAAAATGAATAAAAAAATATTCGAAACTCCACATAATTAGCAAAATTTAGAGTGATCCTAATGCAGTACATATAAAAAATCTAACACAACTCGTAGAATTGAGTCATTATCATATTATGTATAGATGTGTGTTTTTACCTGTGCTCTCAAATCAGAGATGGTGACGAATTTCTTGAGCAAGTTCTTGGGCAGGATGTAAGTGTAGCCACTTTCCTTGATGTCGTCCGAGCTCACGTAGATGTGGTTCGTACGAAGATGCAGGTTCGTAGCTGATATAGCACGCACGCGCCATTCCGTCTTTGAACTGAAATAATATTATTTATTTATTATAACTTAATAACAACCATCTTTATGATTACAGTAGTCAATCTTGTATGGACATATTTATACCATTGACAATCCAAACAATAAAAACCGGAAAGAACTGTAAGGACTGTTTAATAATAGCTAGTTTCTCACCTGAATGTCTGTGACTCGTAGTTGCTGGTAGTAGAAGTGATGATCTCGTCTCCGTGTTTGTTGACAGTGCGAGTAGTGGTTGCAGTGAGTTGGCTCTGTTCCTTGCTCTGCTTCTCAATTTCAGCGATCTGTTGGCGCTGTGCCGAGGGCGCTGATATCTCCATACCCAGGATAATGTCACGGATCTCGGATTGGGTGAGTGAAGCCACATTGACACTAAAATAATAGAATTATTAGTTATTTGCAAGAAAAGTTGTCACAAATTCAATTTCATTCTGTACCATTGGTTTATAATATTATTTTAGTCACTAAAATCTATAAATCACGATTGATGGAATAAAACCACTTATAACTTTCATACAATAAATGAATGCACATAAAAAATTTTTTACTAAAAAATATTGTAACTCACTTGTTCTTCTTGCCATAGTCAGCAAGGATGAGGTCTTTGAGTTGTACTTCAACCTTGATCCAGTCATCATCAGACAGAGTGGGCCAGATGTGATGTGGCTCCGTCAATGTGGTCTTATCCGGTTTCAATAGGACCTTGGTACGCTCCGTGTTCACGTGGAGAGCGCGCAGGATAAGGATCAGACGACTGAATGCCTACGAAAATATAAATTCTATTTAAACATTGGGCAAGTCAGATCATTTTTTTTAATATAAGTGAAGTATTGTGTGCAACATGATCAGTTAGCGTTATATCAGCGCGGCCAATAGTAACGTCAGTGCGATCAGCAAGCGTCACTCACTGGCCGCGCCCCAGAGCACAGGGACTCTCTGGTTTCAGGACCCCTACGCGGTTCATCATTTCATATTGTCACAAAATCATCATAATTATTCATTTTGTAACTTAAACTTATTTTAGTATTTTTCTAAAGACAATGAAATTTTACTTACAGTGTATGACGAGATAGTCTTGAGCCAGTCATCATACAAGTTGAACAACACCATCTGAGGCTCTGTGGCCTTTAGGATGAGGTCTCCGAACTTCTCCACCTTGAGACACGCTTGGAACGGAAGCTGGAGCTCCGAGCCTTTGATCACGATGTTAGGGAAGTCCAACAAGTGTACCTGAGTGTTACAAATATAGTCAGTTAAAGTTGCAAGATTTATTTTCTAAATGGTTAAAGAGATATTTAACTATCATCATGTCTAATATTTGTTTATGCTCACCTCAAGAGGATCCAACATTCCCTTTCTGGTGACGATGATTTGTTTAGGCTGCTCCTCAACTGGTAGGGAACGAATCAAGGCTGCTACTTCTTCAGCAGTCTTCCATTTGGCGAGCTAAACAACACATAAATATGTTAATTTCACTGTAAAATTAATATTATTGTTTCTTTGTTATTTACATTATAATATTCCAAGAGAAGTCAAACTGGAATGTAGTTATGGATTATTTGTTTCTCTTTTCAGATTTCAATGGCTCTAAATTACCGGTAAAATACCAAATACGTCCACAATAAAAATCAAGCCAATGTTACCTGTCCAAGACGTTTCTGTCCAGCCCATACACTGGTGTGAATGATCTTAAGGAACAGTTGCCCAGTGCGCGGGTTGAAGATGAAGATGGCGCCGTTGATGGGCTTTGTCGTCAAGTTGCCTTCGAACGTCTTGTGGATAGTCACACGGTATACGTTGGTGTCGTCCACGAACCTGGAGAGATGGGTAAGTTACAGATTTAATTTCAATTAGCATTTCTTATATTTATTCAACAGAACAAGTGAGTGTATATCAAGCTCTTATATAAAGCGACAGATGTCTTGCTATTAGAAATTGCCATAGTATTTAATATTAATCGCCTCGTCTGTTAGGTTACCACAAATTTTTTCCCTAAAAAGTGTAAAAAGTACTTACCAAATGATCTGGTTAGAGAACAACTCTCCGTAGTTCTGACTGGAAAGGTACGGTTCGGTAGGTTCAGATGAGTACAGTTGCAGCGCCTTACGGATTCGCTCACGCAATACGTATAGAGCGGGGTTAGCCTTCATTATCTTGGCCATCGCTTGCTGGATTAGAGGCTTGCAACCCGGGAACCAATTGCCGTATGCACTGCAAGGATTACAATTATTAGTATGAGAGAAAAAAGGATTTATATTTGGAATATTGGTCATTATTTAATCGGTTTTCATGCAAAGCTATTCCACTATGTAGAATACTTTTACGTAGAAATATTATGGAGTAATTTAAATTATATTTATCCCCAATAGATGTAAAATTCTTTTACAAACCTGTGCAAGTTATAAGCCAAGTCAATGGCGATGAGCAGTCCAGTAGGTGATGGATATATGGACATGTTGTCGGTGGTATAGTCGAGGAACTTGGCGCGCGCGT